GTCTATCTATCTATCTATCTATCTATCTATCTATCTAATCTGTCTATCTATCTATCTATCTATCTATCTATCTATCATCTATTCTACTCTACTCTACCCTACTCTAATTCTTCTCTACTCTATTCTGTTCTCTATTCTATTCTATTTTCTATTCTATTCCATATTCTATTCTACCCTACTCTACCCTACTCTAATTCTACTCTGTTCTGTTCTCGATTCTATTCTATTCCCTATTCTATTCTACTCTACCCTACTCTAATTCTACTCTACTCTGTTCTGTTCTCTATTCTATTCTATTCTATTCTATTTCCTATTCTATTCCATATTCTATTCTACTCTACTCTACCCTACTCTAATTCTTCTCTACTCTATTCTGTTCTCTATTCTATTCTATTTTCTATTCTATTCCATATTCTATTCTACCCTACTCTACCCTACTCTAATTCTACTCTACTCTGTTCTGTTCTGTTCTCGATTCTATTCTATTCCCTATTCTATTCTACTCTACCCTACTCTAATTCTACTCTACTCTGTTCTGTTCTCTATTCTATTCTATTCTATTTTCTATTCTATTCCATATTCTATTCTACTCTACTCTACCCTACTCTAATTCTACTCTACTCTGTTCTGTTCTCTATTCTATTCTATTTTCTATTCTATTCCCTATTCTATTCTACTCTACTCTACCCTAGTCTAATTCTACTCTACTCTGTTCTGTTCTCGATTCTATTCTATTCTATTTTCTATTCTATTCCATATTCTACCCTACTCTACCCCACCCTACCCTACCCTACCCTACCCCAATTCTATTCTATTCCATTCTATTCTATTTTACACAGACGTACTGCTCAAGAAAAGATGGAATGCTTATATTTTTTAAAATTGAAAAATAAATAAAAAACTTTATTTTAAAAAATAATAATTTTAGAGTTTTCCAAATTTCTCCCAGTGGTAACCATATGTCGTTTCACCTGCAAGTGGATCTTAACTTCCATTTCTGACTTAAAGGACCAGGCGATACCGATGAAGAATGATTCTGCCAGATAACACTGTAAGGATCAGCAAAAGATCCAGTTTAACTGGAACACAGACAAGCAATCTGGAGAAGAGATCTGATATTTCTAGGGCACTCATATCCAACTGGACCAAACTGAATTAGATCCAGATATTTAGAAGCGTGCCCAGGCTCACAATAGCTTGTTCCACACCGATCTGAATCAGTTTTGACGGGTGAAAAAGCCACAAAGGCATTCATTTGTAAATCTAGGAACGGGTAGAATTGAAGTGCACGCGAGATCAAAGTATAAACAGGTAATCCTTGACTTAAAAGGGAAAGGTTCCCCTCGTACATTTGTGTTAGTCGTTCCCGACTCTAGGGGGCGTGCTCACCTCCGTTTCAAAGCTGAAAAATCAGCGCTGGACGAAGACGTCTCCGTGGTCATGTGGCCGGCAGGATTCAACGCCGAAGGCGCACGGAACGCTGTTCCTTTCCCACCAAAGGTGGTCCCTATTTTTCTACTTGCATTTTTTACCTGCTTTTGAACTGCTAGGTTGGCAGAAGCTGGGACGAGTCACGGGAGCTCCCTCCGTTACGCGGCGCTGGAGATTCTGTCAGAAATGGATGTAGGGTCTTCTATTTTGGAGGGGGTTGGACTAGATGACCTACAAGGTCCCGCCCAACTCAGAATAGATTGATTGATGCAATCTAGAAATGAGGAGGAATTTCCTGACAGTGAGAACAATCAACCCATGGAACAGAAGTTGCCTTCAGAAGTTGTGGGAGCTTCATCCCTGGAAGAGACTGGACTGGCCATCGGTTATAAATGGTGTAGGGTCTCGTGCTTGGGAGGCGGGTTGGACTAGATGACCTACAAGATCCCTTCCAACTAGGTTATGAAAGGGGGAGGGTGGGAGAAGGAACCTGAGCGAAGTTCAAGGGGCCATAAAGGAAGCAGGTGTATTTTGGGGCGAAGGGAGAAGATTTTCTGACGTGACTCCCCCCGCTTAAAAAAAATGAGAGGCAGGCCGGAAAGTTGGAAGTAAATATGAATGTTTTAATGCACAGAACAACCTGTCAGGATATGGTAGTGGCAATCACCCAAGGAACCTTTGTGTTTTTGGACACCTGATGTATGTTTCATTCGTGCCACTTTTCTTGTCGTGGCCCGCTAGCAAAGTTCTTTCTCCAGTTTGCAGCGAACTTCTCAGTGGCTACTTCAAGGATGTGGGTCCTTCTGATTTCCGGCTTAAAATTCTCACGATACCCAAGCCTTAGTCCCTCGGAGCCAAAATCTAAGGTGAGCCAGCCACTGTTCCCCCTCCCACGTACAGCTGAAAACGGCTGCGCCCACCACTTGTGGGTGGTCCCCACCCCAGCCCACCCGAATGCGCCGTCTCTCTCCATCTCCATCCATTCTGGAGCCCAGGACGAGAGATTTGCGTTGGGAGAGAAAGACGTTGGGGAAAAGCCATGGCCTTCATTGAATTGTTTTAATTTCCCCCGTCCCCTTGGATGGAGCGGAACGATGGACTTCCTTTCTTAAATAATAATTATTTTTCTTTAATTAAAAAGGGGGAGAGAGAGAGAGAACCTAAGGAAAAGGGAGGAGGGAGGGAATCTAGTTGGCCCCCTCGGATGGCTGTGTGGTTTCCCGAGCTGATCTCCCTTCCGTTGAATGGATAGGTTGCCACATGTCCTTGCTTTTGAGCCAAAGGGGAGCGCCTCTGCCCCGTCGTGCCTCAGTTGGCCGGCCCGTTTTTTGTTTTTTTTTTCACCGTCCCTTGGAGTCGCCGTACATGTTCCGCAGGAGAGAGATCATCTTCTCTTCGCAGCTGATTTTGGTGTCCTTCAGGACATTGTAACACACCATGCCAGGGGAGCGCTCCTCCTCACTGCGACAGAACAAGTAGGGCATGGTGTCAGTTCGGCTCTGGATGTAGGCGCTGCGTAGCAAGTTTGAGCAGTGGTTGCTGACTTTCTCCAGCCGGCGTAGGATGAGATGTGCTTTTCTAGAAGGGGAGAGGGGAGGGGGGGAGGAAGGAGAAAAACCAGCTTTGAGGCTCCGAGGAAGGCAAAGAGGAAGAGGAGGAAGAGAAACGGGCATTTTTAGTCGCTGTTATGGTGCAGGAGAAGCAGACTGGTCCATGGTAGCCAAATGATCAAATTCAAAGGGAGGGGAGTTTGTGGAGAGGAGGAGAGGAAAGAAGAGGGGGAGGAGGAGGAGGAAGAAGAAGAGGAAGAGGATGAGGAAGAAGAGGAAGAAGAGGAAGAGGAAAAGGAGGAGGAGGAGGAGCAGGAGGAGGAAGAAGAAGAAGAAGAAGAAGAAGAAGAAGAAGAAGAAGAAGAAGAAGAAGAAGAAGAAGAAGAAGAAGAAGAAGAAGAANAGAAGAAGAAGAAGAAGAAGAAGAAGAAGAAGAAGAAGAAGAAGAAGAAGAAGAAGAAGAAGAAGAAGAAGAAGAAGAAGAAGAAGAAAAGCAAATCAGCTCTATCCTTCTTCTCCAACCTGGAAAAGAGGAGGAGGAACAGAAACAAGAGGAAGAGGAAGAAGAGGCAGAGAAGGAAGAAAAGAAGAGGAGGAGGAGCAGGAGAAAGAGGAAAAGGAAGAGGAGGAGGAGAAATGGGCATTTTAGTCACTGTTATGGTGCAGGAGAAGCAGATTGGTCCATGGTAGCAAAACGATCAAATTCAAAGGGAGGGGAGTTTGTGGAGAGGAGGAGGGGGAAGAAGAGGGGGAGGAGGAGGAGGAAGAGGAAGAGGAAAAGGAGGAGCAGGAGGAAGAAGAAGAAGAAGAAGAAGAAGAAGAAGAAGAAGAAGAAGAAGAAGAAGAAGAAGAAGAAGAAGAAGAAAACTGTTGAGTCTGTGATGCTCTCCTAGCTTAGTAGTTTTCTTGTAGACATTTCATGACCCAGCTAGGTACATCATCAATTCTAGAAGGGTGCAGGCTTGTAGGGAGGAGGATGAAGAGGAGGAAGGCTGTGGGTTCCTTGATGATCTGTATGGTGGTTTTCCTGCAGATGTTTCATGATCCAACTAAAATCAGTGCATAAAACATCTGCAAGAAAACCACCCAGCTTACCCAGCATTGTGGAGGTCACCCAGAATTACTGGAGCTTTGGGGCAGCTCTACCGAATCCCTCTTCCAAAATACAGTAGGATTAAAACGAGTTGAAAGCCGTGGCCTTCAAATACCTTCTCTCCAGCTGGATTTCAACACAATGACATTTTTTGAATTACGAGCCATCTCACCCAGACGCAGCTCTTTGAACCAGTCTGCTCCCCTCGACTCTGATGATAGCCTTGGGTGTGGCACATGGGAACGAGGCATCAGCCAGCTGGCTGGGGGAAGCCGCAGCAAAATTAGCCTCTTCCAAATCAGGATAAATCTGCAGGGAAGGTATAGGCGGAGCGACAAATCCCCTCTTGGCCAGGAAGAGATTATGGCGAGCTCTTCAGGCCGAGCTGCCGAAGTGAGTCACTTGTGTGAAAAGGTTAATGAAGTCATGTCTAAAGGGTAGACTTATCTTTGGCTGACATCTTCCCCTGCGGAAGGAGGGGGAGGAGGAGGAGGACAAAGGAGAGGGAAGGCTGGGAAGAGGAAGTTGTAGGGAAGGTGGTGGTGGGGAGTAGTGGGGAGAGGTACCTCCCAAGGCAGGCCAGGAGATAAATCCGTAGGGCAGATAGTTTGACGACATAAATCAGCGGCTGGGTCCTTCTCCAAGCAACTCCCAACGGAGGAGTTTGGACTTTGGTCCAAATCTGGAGATGAAATTGGCCGGGAAAGTGGGAAATTTGGGGGGGAAATGGACAGGCCATTAATGAAGTCGTTAAAAAAAGGCAGGTCGGGGGAAGGAAGGTCGTAAGAGGGAGTTGCCCAGTTAGCCTTCTGCTCTGCCAACTCCTAACGGCTTCCTCCCACGCAGGGCCACCTCTGTTCTTCTACCTTGTTCATTGGGAGGCAACCAGATGATGTGATGGATGGAGGGAGGGTTAGGCGATCCAGGGCTCCCCATTGGCCCTGAAATGAACGAGGGGATGGGAGACAAAGCCAAACGGGAATAAAGTTTAGAATTAGGGAGCAGGTGGCCAGAAAGAACTTCGCAAGGTTGGCAACCAGCCAAAGACTTTCCTTGGTTTTCTTGGAAGATGTTTGGCTTCTCCTTGGTGAGTTAGTTCTAACTAACTGAAGAAGCTTCTTGAAGTGAAAAGTTTTCAAAGGGAGCGGGGGGAGAACAACTAAAGGAAGTCCAGTTGTCTTTTGGGGAAAAGCACCTATGGGACAAAAGAGGGACTTGATCTCTCAGAACTAAAAAAATAATAATTACAAGATATCACAACAAGGAGGAGGAGGAGGAGGAGGAGGAGGAGGAGGAGGAGAGGGGAGAACTGTGGGGTGATTGGTGCTCTGAGCTTGGTGAGTTAGTTGCAGACATTTCATTATCCAGCTAGGTAACATCGTCAGTGCTAAAAGGGAATGGATTTAGTGATGAGAAGAGAAGGAGGAGGAGGAGGAGGAGGAGGAGGAGGAGGAGGAAAAGAAGGATGACTGTGGGATGCTAGGCACTCTGAGCTTTGTGAGTTTCTTGCAGACGTTTCATTACCCAAATAGGTAACATCATCAGTGCTAAAAAGGAATGGGTTGAGTGGAGTGGATGAGAAGAGGAGGAGGAGGAGGAGGAA